ATGGTCACATATGTATGAAAAACCCCTTCTGCATACCAAGCGAAATGTTTTCAAATGCAGAGATGGCTCAAGAGCCGATGTTACCGGTGCAGCTGCACCGGGCATCAGAAATTTTAGAATTCAGTGAAGCACCCAGCAACAAACTTAGGGAGAGGAAAATTTTTAGAATTTAGGGCCTGCACTGGGCAGCAGAATTTAGGGGCGGTAAAATTTTTAGTTTTTAGGGAGGCCCCGGTCGGTAGAATTTAGGACCTGTACATATTCCATTGGGCAGCAAAACACCTAACGACAGCCCTAACTTGCGTGACTTCAGAGTCCTCATACCAATTATTTCTTGTGCCATTCTCGGTATACATCCAACTGAAACATTTTCATGAAAGATACTTTTTTAAAACTTATCTTACATTATTAGATTCTTCTACCTAAAATCATATCTCCCCACACACACTTTGCCAATGCCTTTCTTTATGACTACTGTGGATGAACAACTCGGTGAATTCTGCTGCCAGCATGGCAAGTGAAGAATAACCTGAAGCATTATCTACTAATTTCTCCCACAAATCTTTATGAATATCTTGTGTTGATATATGTTTCAAACATAAATATTTATCGCACCTCAAACTTCTATTTCGTCCGCTTTTTGAATCTGTAGCGACATGATTTAGATTCTGGATATTTTTAAAATGAAAAGGATTAAGATATCGTATTTATCTATAAGTCACTTGTAGAGTTATCTGACATTGTGTGAAACTTTCTTCTACGTTTGCCACAATTCACCCTCCTTCTAAGAAGTTACTGATTGATTGCCTTTCGGATGCCAGTTTCATGTATTCCACCTATAAACGAGTATTTTTTCATAAAATTATGAATTTGTACAATATTTTAAAATGGCGATAAAAATTTTAAACTGTTTTAGAGTTACAGTATGCATATGGAAGCTTTTGATTAAATGGTACATTACCTCCTGCTTGCATTTAGCTAATTACGCAGATAGTTAATTATTCTAGTTAGTTACATTCTTATCACTTTAATCGAAAGATTTCTAAATTTATTAATCATTAAAGTAAAATTTGTAACGTATGTATTTTATAATTTCAAACACAAGTTTCATACTTATTTATTTTGGTATTTTAATAAGATAAACATTTGTCACTACTATATTAATCAAGTACTCCATTCACTACTGAGATTTAGTAATTTAGTGTTAAAATAATACTTTCTTTAATTAAATTGCAAAACATTTTCATTTACACTACTTATTACTGAACTTGAGCAATAGATGGCGACACATGCCATAAAATTTAAAAAACTATTTATTACGAAGAGAAAACCTAAAAATAACAAATACAAATTCCAAAGAAATATTAATGATTCTTTCTGAAGTTTTCTCTGCTTCTGATAACCATTATTTGCTTTATTTTTCTAAAAAATATCTTGATATTTCTATTACTCCAAATAAAATCTGCCTTGGTCGTGTTAGTTCTGTTGCTCGGGTTACGTTATTATGCATCCCGACTAGCGTAACGGCGGGGATGAGTGTGAACCAAAAATATTAATTTCCAATTCAAATTCTTTGCTGTGAATGGCTCCTTACGGGAGAAACTTTTGAATGAAAGTGAGCATGTGTCACTTGTTTTTATTGCCAAGTGATTGTAAACCTACTACTTTCGCACTAGCGTTTATCATTTCATCTGAATTAGCGTTACTGCTGTCATTGTGTTTTATAAGAAACAGTAATCAAAACGTTTATTTCAGAACTCTTCAGTCTTTTTTATTATAATTTCTGCTATTACATTTATCCACATTTCTGTTAAAATTCTGGTGAACGAGTTGGTTACAGAAAAGATTTCATGGTTTTCTTCATCTGTAGAAGGAATATGAGACATAAAATCCTACATGAAGGCATCATCCCATACGGCAGATAACCCTTAAGTGCTTTGCCGTAATCCAAATAATCCTAATCCTTTAGAATGTCCTTAATGAAGGTATCCCTTCTTTCATGTAGTAACTACTTGATCATGCTCAATTAAACTAACAAACTTCAGATGTAATATCGTTCGTTCCGGTGTACGTTTTTACATTTAGAAAAACATTTTTCATGATCTAAGTAAGCATTCAAGTTATGTATGAATGGAAAATAATCAAACAATTGTAATGAACAGTAAATAAATATGATTATAATTATTAAAGAAAAAATTCTGAAACCTGTAGAATTTTTTTTTTTTTTTTTTTAAATAAAATATTTGAAAGCTTTCTAAAAGTCAAACCATAATAAAACTATTACCTTTAAAGTTTGGTTAATTTCATATGGCAAAGCTCACCAGCCTATTCGCCTAGGTGAGACTCCGAATGTTCAGGAAATCAATACTCTAATGATAATTTATGATCTGATTTCAGAGAAATGGAGTCATATAATGAGTTTTATTCAATTTATCACGTTTGCACTGTCAGATGAAACTACTTTTATTCACCATGAACACAAAATGTAACTAAATAATGATTTAAAATTTAAATCATTGTTTCTCAAACTATTGTACATGTACCACTGATGGTACATTATATTATTTTAGGTGGTACAGTTTTTAACCAAAGGATTTAAATCAATGCTCAAAATGAATATAAAATGATGCTTCATTTGGCATATATTGGTACATGATGGTACATAAATTTATGATTCTTACGTTTGTGGTACAAAATTTGAAAAGTTTGAAAACCTCTGCTCTAAATCAATAACTTAAATTTTAGGGTAGAATATTTAAAGAATTTTTCTGAAAGCATTTGTTTTTATGACCCTGGAATTTTTTATTTAATTTCTTTTATTTTAAGTTAGACTTAAGTTAGTAAGATTTCAGCTCTTAAATCTGTTACATTAATTTCAGAATTTCCTTTTAAAATTTTATGCATTCCAGTGAAATTTTTCCTCTCATCGCTATAAAGTTTGCTTTCAGTTATTTTTCATTTTAGTGCAATGGAATTTACGATTACTTTATTTTCATAAATGCTGATTATTTCATTCTTATAAATTCTATCGTTAAGGTTCGAAAAACAACTGTTCTACACTGGGATGATCGGAACGTGAATGTGATTGTTCACGGAAAAATCTGAGTTTTAACTGTTCAGTTTTAATTATTCAACTTAATGCAATCAAAATAGCAGGTCTTCCATTCCCACCATTTAAAGCCTCATCGTATGGCTATAAGTGTAGAATACTATTTATACATAAAAAGTGAAAACGAAACTTTGTCATTCAGACTTCCCGTTAATGGATAAAATCTATACAAAATGGCGTATAATAGCCAAATGTAGTCGCCGGATGATCACTGGCACGTTTTGAAAAGAAAATACATTCCAGGATGTCGCGAGCATGCGCTTAACGTCTCTGTGAACTTTTCTTTCATACTCAACACAGAAAATCGCCAACAGCTACTACTCCGCGATAGCGGAATCTTGCGGGAACCTTCTTCGCAAACTTCGTCTTGGGTTTTTGGCAGTGAGTGAATTTGAAACAACAGATTGGAAAAAATAATCTACGTAATATTCAAATTCCTCATATAAAAAATGTACCTTATGTTCTTTCGTATAACTAATATACGCTAATTCAGCGTATTTAAGATATAGATCTTTGCAGAGGGATAAAAGCTAAGTGTAAAAATATATTGAAATAGGCTATCTCAATAGTCTAAATATAATGGAATTATTTGAAAAATCGTTATTTAAAATTCATTCATTATTTAAAAGGGGAAAAATAAATAAATTTGAATTCACAATACATTAAGAATAAAATAATAATAATAAATATTTGCCATTAATATATTTTACGCGGCTTGTGGTGTGGCTCGGTGGTCTAGGGGTATGATTCTCGCTTTGGGTGCGAGAGGTCCCGGGTTCAAATCCCGGCCGAGCCCAGGGTGTTTAATTTTGCGCATTTTCCTTATTTTTTGACAGTCCTGCTACACTATTTGAATTTTCATTTTACGGTCATCGCTATTAATTATGGATCTTAATTAATCTTTTAAATTCACGATTTTCCGTTCTGTTATTATTTTGTCACTGTTGCTATTATATCTATATATACATTTCAATGACATTGCTATTTAACTATAAAATTTTATTGAATTTAAAAATCATGATTTTCCCCGTTCCGCCAATTTTTTTTTTTTTTTTTTTTTTTTTTTTTTTTTTTTGTTGCCGTTTAGTTTTTTTTCATTAGATACAAACACTGCTAAGTAATCTCAAAGACGCATTATAATTGTATTTCCATTTAAGTATCTTAACAAATCCTTTGACTGATAATAAAGGATAAATGTTACTGAAAGGCACAGCCGAAAATTTTAAGTGAAATTTAGCTTTTCAACCTATCGTGATATCCTTATTTAATTATAAAACAACATATATTACGTAAACTTTAATTATGCAAGGTTAAAATATTGTGATAATAAATCAGAAATTCAATGAAACGTGATAAAGTTAATTGCAAACTCTTAGTTAATTATGAAAATTTAATAGGTTTAATACGTATTTATGCAATTATAAATTTAAAATGTAATTGAAACGTTATAAATCAAAGATAGAAAGTAAATAAGAATGATATTTAATCTATAAAATGAACATATCACACATGTACCGTATATATGAAAATTAAAATACTGAGTATATTTTTATTTGCATTTTGTTAACACCGAAAGTGAAGGCTCGGTGGTCTAGGGGTATGATTCTCGCTTAGGGTGCGAGAGGTCCCGGGTTCAAATCCCGGCCGAGCCCGGAGATGATTTTTTTGTCCCACTGAAATTACTTCTATGGATTCATTGGGAAGTGTAATACAATCTTCAACACATAAGCGGAATATATCAAGAAAAAATTTTAAAAACTTCCAGATTCATGATAAAAGAATTGCTAAAATAGATAATAAATTGCTTTTATCATAAATCTCCTTTTATTCTCTGACTGATCTGCTTTTATTCATTCCGTTGCATTACATCGTTCGTATATTTTTTGTTCAGGGAATTATCGAAGACTTAACCCATAGTAGCAGTCAAGGAGAACGGACTGGTAGTATGACTTTAGAAAAGGATGATGAAAATCAGTTCTATTCCGACATTGAAGAGCTGTGTGATGATGATCTTGAAAGCAATGTCATACAGGTAAGTGAAAAATTTCTCACTTCAGTAGATAAATAATGACGATAGTTACAAGAGCTTAGCTCGGTTCCGGTTGAGCATTTTGCGTGAAATCGTAATTCTAGTCCGGGACCCAATTAAGATCATATTCGATATTTAAATTTATTATTTATTATTAACTTGATTTATTAATTTTTTAAATAGCTCCTTGCATTTTATTGTTTTACTTACTATTGTTTTAACCTGTCATAGATCGTAGATCATCTTACTACAGCATAACCACCGGCCGGCTTTTGGTCTTTACACCCGTTTATCACTCAGTTTCTTGTTTTTGAATTTCGTGCATGCGAAAAGCTACTCTTGAATATTGCACAAGGACCTCTAGAAAGAGAAATCGCTTTTTTTAAAAAGAAACTTAAATTAGGCACTTGCTCTGCAGGTGTCGCCATCTATTGGCGGCTAGAGATATCGAAACTAATGTAGTATACCGACAATTTTGGAGAGAAAATATTTTAAAACGGAGAATAAACTGAAAATTAGATATAATAATTTCACATAAAATTTCAACAAAATGTAACTATGATATATACGAAACACATGAAAAGTTTTCTTAGGAACGAACTGAAGTCGTAATGCAAGCCTTTACTAAAAGCAATCAACTGTGGTTCAAATACAAATTCAAGTGAGCAATACTTAAAGTGATATACAGAATTTAACATTTTCATGAATAACTAGAATTTTAAGTAAATAAAATCAATACCTACATGAATGACCAGCATCTGCGATTACGATGAATAGTTCAAGGCATTTTGAGAGTCTGAACAACCAGATGATCGTTAATTTCCAATATCCTTAATAATTGCTTGATCGTGTTGCTCCCAGTTCCTGAAAACAATTATATACAGTTTTGGGAATTTCTGAATCCAGTGGTTTGATGTTCCGATCCGCGAGAATAACCGTGTTGCTCACTAACTACGGGGCATTTAAAAATCATTCTAAGAGCCTTCTTTTGAATTCTTTGTAATATAAAGAATTCAAAAGAAATTATCCTGTTTGAGTAAGCTACAGCTGCTCACGCAGATGCGCGTAAAGTAGAATTAATCTTATTGTTGTTTCCAAGTACAGAATTCTTTTAGTGTAAATAGATAGACGAGAATATCTGCCAATTATTGAGTTACATAAAGCCCATAAGAGTGCCAATTATTAAAGCACTCTTATGGGCTTTATGTGCTTTGTCTTTAACATGCGTTAAATGAAATTTAAACCAAAACCAATTTAAAAGTCAAGGAAAATCGCAAGATATTTAATTTTAGTTTTTCTAGGAACGGTAGTACATTCATTGTGATGTCTCCAATATTGTACAGGATATTTTCGGAAATAAATAATGGAGCTTTTTTCTAGGCTAATTTTGATTTTCACGCTTGGAACCACTTGCGTAAGAAGTTGATGTAGTTTTGAAGTTAATTTTTAGATATTCAAAAGAAGGGGCTCTGAAATACTGCGTTCTAGCGCATCAGAATTAATTTTCCTTCTTGTACAGAGTTGTACTCGGATTTTTATTATTAAAGTTGTGCCATTAAAATTATTTTGATAAAGTACGATGGAAATGTTGATGAAATAACAAGAATAATTGACACGAAGGAAGTAATGCCATACCTTATCAAACGCTTTTTCAATATCCAAAAAAGAAGAGTTCCTCAACACTTTCTTTTTTACTGTAACTTCTTCCAATATATTCTACGATACGGCTGATTTGCTGTATTGTAGGCGCAACCTTGTCAAAAACCGAATTGATGCTCGCATATAATATTGCTATTATTATTGAAAATCTGCATTTCTAGTGTCGATTCTTTCGAATAGAACTGCTTTTACAGGCAGTAGCCTAATCAGCCTGTAGTTGGTTTTTGCGAAATTTCCGTCTTTATATGGTTTTTTGATAATAATTATTAAAGCATACTTCAATGGATTGGGATAATAATTAAGTCTGATGCAAGTACTAAAGATGTTAAGATGTTCATAGGGCCTTCCATAGGGCTCTGATACTTCATAGTTTTAGAAATTAAGGCCTAGATAGCAAGCATATGTTACATTATTAGGTAATTTCATATTTTTCCTGCGCATCAATAAATTACGTCATCGATTGCAGAATAAAAAGCAGCTCACGAAAAGGCAGTTAAGTCTTACCTTTTGCTATAATTTGCGCATGTTTACTTTATTCTGATCCAAATTTAAAGATTTAGATTATCGTTTCCGCTAATAAACGGTAACATGCGCAATGATATCAATTTTTTATTTATGCTGAAAATTCGGATACCGTAAAACTGTGAACCTGACGAAAAGAGCACTATGAATGCATTACTGATTACGAAACAAAGCAATTCTTATTAAGTGTAAGTTTTTTTATTTCCAATGACAGATTATGAACAGTTACAGCAAAAATACAAAAACAAAGAACACAGAATACAGCAATACAACGAGGGAAAAAAAAAAAAACAGTTGCAACAGAGTCCATTAATCTAACATATCTCTTGCCTCCCAGTAACGCTCGGCGAGAGAAGTCTTGCGCAGAGCAGGACAGTGGGGTAGATGTGCGGCATCCATCACCTCTCCAGAGCTGCACAGAGTGCATATCGGAGAAGGAAAAATTTTTAATCAATGAATATGATATTGTAGGCAGTCATGTCCGGTGGGAAGGCGGAGTTCAGCGACCGCTCTACGCCTTGGGCCACTACACAAATTCGGGATAGCATTCTTCCAGGACTTATGAGAAACACGATAAGAGATTCCCACGATTGATATATCTTTTAATAAGGTCCCTAACAGTATGGAAAGGCAAAGAACGAGAAATATTCTGCATGATTAAAGCTCCCTTTTTTCCCAAGAAGTCGGCTTTCTCATTACCTGAAATCCCACAATGGACAGGAACCCACTGGAGAACAATAGTTTTCTCAAGTGAAGCCAGGTTTTATAGATAAAGTTGACACCTGTGATATGGGATTTTTACCTGAAACGATAGCCAACAGAGCAGCTCGGGAATCACTGAATATAACAGCTCTTGAGAATTTTTCCAAGTAGCATGCTAGCTGGTTGAGAGCTGTGCGAATCTCAGCAAATTTCACCGTCAGATGCAGAACCTTGGCCCACAGGGATGTACAAAGAGAAAATTTCGGAGAAAATCCGGCACCTGCACAAGGGCCATCAGACAGGAGGGATCCATCAGTGAAGATCCGAAGCCACTCTGGCTCAAGGTAAAAATTATTTAATAAATCGAAAGCGAGGGCTCTCAAAATAGACGGATCCGTATTACGTTTCGTTACTTTTTTTGACCCAGGTCAAGATTAATCCAGAAAGATTTCAAATTTATTGGATTTTGTAGTGGAACAAGTAATTCTGCTTCATTCATTAACCCAAGTGAATTTTTTAACTCGAAAACTCTCTGTAGAAAGCCCATCTGTGTCTTTAGATTTCTAGTCAGATCTTGATTCATGTTAATTTGCGGTCAAACGTCACACCCGTATATTTAAATTTATCGCACAAGGAAATTTTGGGTACCCTTATACGTCAGCTGAAGATCCAAAGATTGGTGCAGGAGTGAGAAAGTCAGGAAGTATGATTTATTTAAGTTCACCTCCATATTATTAGTACCACACCAAATTTACAAAGCATTCAAGGCAGCAGAGAGTTTAGTCGCAATGTTTCTCACTGCACTTTCTTTTTTAAAAACATTCCAGAAAACCAAATCATGAGCGTATAAGAGGCACTTGACGCCAGAAATCTCTCGTATTTTATAAATCAAATCATTAATATAGATGTTAAAAAGGGAGCAGCTACTAACAGCTTCTTGTGGGAGACCTGTTTTTAAGATCTTAGATTTCGATAGAGCGTTGCCATACCTGACTCTGAAAAGCGTTGGCACAGGAAGCCTTTAATCCAATTAAAAAGATTTGATCTAATGCCTAGCCCAGATAGTTTCAGTAGGAGGCACTCCCGCCATACTTTGTCGTAGGCAGACTTGAAGTCAATAAAAACTGCGGTCAGGACCTGTCTATTATCCAGGGCGTCCTTCATTGACTCAGGAGGACAACATGTTGGTTAGTAGATCTGGAGCTTCTAAACCTCGCCTGCTCCTCGGCAAGAAGTCTGCAAGTTTCGAAGTGATAATTAAGTCTTCTCACAATTATTTTCTCCATAGCCTTTTCCATAATACTAGTAAGCGATATTAGTCTATAGTTCCGATCTTTGTCTTTCTTATGTATGGGAATAATGATAGAAGTTCGCCATTCAGCTGGTACAATACCAGTGTTCCAAACAGTGGCGTGCGGTAGGTTTTCATGCAGGGTGTGCAGAGAACAACAACAACAATAATAATAAAACCATATGTACTGTGATTCTAAACTAATAAGTGGACTGTATAGCAAAAGAACTAACTAATTTATTTACAGTAATTAACTATTCAGATCTAATACATGCTCTGGCATGTTGCTTAGCCGAATCCAGATGGCCAAGTGAGAGTTTCTCTACTTATCCAATAGGTGGCGCTGTATTCTAACTTAACATGCCGCCGCCCGTTGAAATTACAAATTTCAATATGTAAATTACAAACAAACATACAATTTAACAATTCAAGAAAAACTAATTCTCCAATACAATATGAAAACTAATAGATAATCTTTCATCATGAATATAATATAAAATAATGCAACATTTTGAGAACATTAACATTCACTATGCTACAATCGAACTTATTCTTTAAAACAGTTCCATTTTTATGTAAATCACAATTTCAATAAGAACATAATAATGTAAACTAAGCATTATTATCCTGGATAGGTAATAAACAAATTTTACTAATACATCGAATATACACACCATTTGATGTTTTCACTTTAACAACTCTGGCCTTATTATCTTTACCAGGTAAATTTCCCATAAGTTGTTCACATACAATTGCTTTAATCTTAAAACATGTTACACATTCATGTACAACCTTTCGAGCTACATCTCGACCATTAATAACCCAAAAT